TTTAGCTCAAATTCTTTATTTGCCAAATCAACTGATTGTCACACAGCAAACACTCAAGCTCTTGTGAGAATGACGACAGCGGTAATGATGATGGCAATTGCAAAAGTTCGAATCCTTCAAATGTGTGGCGAACATATTTTGGTGTGAGTTTTATGAGGGGAAAAAAAAGTGGTGGTGTGGTGCTTTTGAATTGCTTCGAATGTGCTATGAAGCCTCAGAGTTATCAACAAGCCATTAAACCATTAACGCAAATATTCGCATACAACCATTATCGCCACAATGGATATTCAAGAGATGTGCAACTGTTGCATTTGTGTAAAATACATATTGGCGAGATGTTGTGTGTGTGTGTTAGTACGTTCATGTGAATTAAGCTTGGTGCAAACGGAAATTTTGTATCGAAGGCAGTTTCCATTGTATCGATACATTGTGTCACTTCTATATATCGAAAGCAGCAAGTGATATTGATTTAGTTTTCAATCTTTTATTTACAATGAAGAGCATAAAGCTCACATGGCAATCGTATTACTTGTATTGGACATAGCTTTAAATGGGAAGACTGCAATATAACACATTGCATCCATTAAATATATATACATCTGTTTAAAAATAGTGCTGGAAAAAACTCTGAATAAATTGACCTTTTGTAGTTGCAGTGATTTTCCCTCTTACATTCATTACAGCGTCTCTCTTACATTTGTTTTTGCATTATGTTTGTCGGAGTTGAATATCGTAGCAAAAGAATGGTGTACATATATGAGAATGCATTAATAGAGAGATCGATGTGAACGAACATTTTGAATGGCAACATTTTGAAAAAAAAAAAAAAAATGGTGACGTCAACTCTTCTTAGAAAAGAAATGTAACAAACAAAGAACACGAATGAACATACGGAAGAACAATGACGAAAAAATCTAAGCTGAAAATAACAAACAAAATATACGACAAGGTTAACATAGAAGCACAAGCTATTTGAATTGATGTGCTATTCAATTCGAACACTCTATTGAATAGTTGAAAATAATGTAGAGGATTTTACAAATCTCTTTATACATAGACAGGTCAAAGCTGCAAATAACCGCCTGACGGTTGTCTTGTGAACCACATTGTTTTACATGTAAACAGCTTTGGCATGCGCTTCCCTTGAAGCGAACCTCAGCATAATACATGGCAATGTTGTTATAGTTTACCCGACAACTGTCAGGGGCAGTAATGTGCCAAATTTGTGACATCACAATGCTAAAGTAGGAGCGCATCTAGGGGATATCCATGCGAATTAGAATTAGCACATTAGCAAAAAAATAGGGAAATTTACATGAAGAAAATAGCAAAATTAGCAATAAATAGCAGAATTAGCACTGTACACGTATATACTTTAGTAAGCATTTATTCTTGAATATATTGAAATAATTAATTAAAATAAAATTCACAAAACAAACGAATTGAATAGTGTTGAACTAAAATGTATCAAAATATGTAGTTAAATACGCTTTTTCTTATTTTTAAATAAAAATATATTCAATGGCACGTAACCAAGCACGTTTCATCTGTATTAACTACAATTTACGAATTGCAATCGGAAATGTAGATTTGATGACAGATTTCTTACTGAAAACGTATACGCTAGTGCCTGCTTCAAATATACACGTTGAAAGTGTCAACTTGAAACATTTACGTAAACACATTTCAGTTATTCGATCATGCTGTCAATCTGACGTATGCAATATTTTTGACGTACTAGAGAAATTAGCAAAGAATAGCAGTATTAGAACAAACTAGTAGAAATACTAGCAGAATTAGTGAAAAATAGAGAGAAATAGCGTTTATTATTATAAATTATTCGATCTGCAATTCACGGTTATCCCCTAGGAGCGCATAAGATGTGTGATATGTATGTACGATGAATGAGCTCAAATTCAAATATCAAAATGTAAACATGATGCGCACACAGCCATCATTCAATTGCACATTGGCAACACTTTTTTTCCTCTGTGAATCCACTTTTAATGATTGAAATTGAGCTCAACAAGCCAAAAAAAGTATGTGGATGTGAGGATGCACAGTATAAGTATGAGCAAAAACGAACGAAAAAAATAAATGATAGAGAACTGCTATTCGATACTAGAGAACAGTATGACTGTGGATAGAATGAAAATCAGGTATTCAATTGAGTTTCAACAAATGGTTCTTTTTTACCCATTTCATTATGAAATAGATCTAAAGTTGATTGGATATGCGAACAGGAGTTTTTGTATAACATACTGAATAAAATGTTTTTACAATTCAGTTTTATAATTTCAATGAAAATTCCATTTGAAATTGTGGCGTTCTTCTAATTTATTCATTGGATCGTATTTATGAGTACTATCCACATTTCCACTTTTATGATATCGAATCGATTTGAATATGACACTGAAATTATTTTAATTCTTCTATTGATTAAACGATACTATAGCATTCATTGAATTGGTTTCAAATGATCAAATGAAATGTTCAAATGTGAAAAAAAAATCATTTAAAGATTCAAATATCAAATGCGGTACGTGTAAAATGTGTAACATTCACAAAAAGAATTGGCTTATCGTTAATTGATTGATTGGAATTCTGTGAAAATATACAATGTATTGATAATAGAATCATTAAAATGGATTTTAATATAACATACCAGCGATGAAATGTGCTCTCATTCTCTCTCATATACGCACATCCACACACACACAATGTTTGCATCGCAGCAATATTTCATTAAGTTTCTTCACTTTTGTTGAGGCGCCATTCACCTCTTGAGTTGTGGAAATTTATTTGCAAGTTTGACGAACATAAGCACTGATTTTCACCGTAATTCGATAGCATAATCTTGATTACAACTATCAGCATGCATGATTCATATTTATGTATATTATTATGCATCCTTCACAGTTCTATAGAAATAAAGACATAATAAAATGAAAGTAATGAAAGAGTACATCAAAATGCCTGGTTTGCTTTTTGCTCTATCGCTTTATTAGAGCCAAATTCAATTTCCCTTGAATGCATACATAATACACTAACTGAATTTTCCATATTTCAAACTTGCAAATATCTACCATCACTGTATACCAATGCAAGCGTTTTTATGCACCATTCAGTTTTTTTCTTCTTCCCTCGTTGGATGTCGGCATTTGTACATGCGAAAATGGAACGCTGTTGAAGAAAAATGGACAAAAAAAACAACAACAACAGCAATTGCAACAAATTCACGCACACAACGTACCACTAAGAGTGATAACCGAACAACCAGAACAGCGGTAACCAGTTTTGGTCGCTATCCAGGCTAAACTTACGTCTTTCATACAAACTCACAATTGAACATACAACAAATAATAAGATATGCAAATTTATAATATCATTTTGGAGCACATGAAATGACCAAGCAAACTCAAAGAAAACCAGAGCAATTTATTTATTCAGAATGCGTCGGTTGAAATACGCACATGCATCGACCATAAAATCTAAGCTTCATGAACCATTTCCAACTATGCATCAAAATAAAATAAATGGACCATTTTAAATGAAAATAATACGATAAAAACACGACGAAAAAAGTGAAAGAGAGAGGTGGGGAGACTAGATTTAGACTAAGAAATAGTAGATTGAAAAAATCCATAGTATTTTGTAATTGTTGTGACATGTAGTAAACAAGATTATGCTTCAGTGTGTTCACGTCTAGAAATTACATGAATTACTTGAACGGCTTCGATTCCCTTTTTTAATATCTACAACTTATGTTCAGTCTATGACTAGCTATTTCACCATTATGAACTATTCGAAAATGGTGATTATCATGCAAAAATATTTGCATGGACGGTGTCTAGTATCGTTTGGTTTCATGAGAGCCCAATTTCTTTCAAAAGTCCAACACTAAAAAAGTAAGAAAACATAGTGTATCTTTTCGATAAAGAAAAGAAAATCCAACGGATAAGAAAAGTGGACGGCTACTGAAACCAAAGTAAAAGTTAATATCTTATCATAGCGATATGAGGGTTAGGAAAGAATTTTGTCTGCTCAAAAAAAAATATGTTTCGATATCTTGGAGAAATTCGCTTAGATTCTTACGCCAGATTTGGTAAGGATTTCAACTTTCAATATGTTTTTTGTGTGCTTATTTTGCGAATGAAAGATGTAAAAGATGGAAAACAAATCGCACACAATAACATAAGTCCATTCGAGTAACAGCGACAACACAAAAATAATCATGGAAATTGCTCGAAAATATCTCCGAACAAAGAATACAATTGTGCAGTCATGCCAAAAGATTACCTAGTTCCTTCGATTTATTGTCGGGGCTACGCTGGAAATCAAATCATACTCGCCATACATATTACTTTATATCGCATATTGTTGTATCATACAAAAAAAATATTCGAGATTTTTCAAGTGTTTTTCGCTATTCCGTCTCTATCTTCAGTTATTTTTATATTCGTTGAATGTATATAGTGTTCACAGCCTCACTTATAATTCTGTAATTCGGCAAATATGTACCCATTTTTTTTGATAAAGTCTTTTCAGCAACCGAAAATCGGCATTTTATCAGCTTCAAAATCAATTCGTCGCTTTTTATTTGCCATAACAAGTAATGTAGGTGAAAGCAAAATAGCTAAAATATTTAAGATTCTTTTTTTTTGTAGCAATTCAACAACATATTCGTTCATATGGGGATCAAAATCCAATAATGTACACTCGAAGTATTTGCATACAAACGATATATAAAAATACATTTTCATAACCGTTGCGCATAATTCCAAAAGCGCGCGCTCACCCTCCTCTCGTTCTCCACGAAAACCTTTAGTTTGATTTGTTTGAGCGGTTATTTGTTTCTATTTAAGCGAATTCCCATTCGACAAAAATATGTGCCGATTCGTGCATAATGTATTTTCTTCGGATGAAGAGACGAAAAAAAAAAACACCGTACCTGTATACTTAATATTTATACAATTTCTTTTTTACATTGATTTTCGTAGGTTGTCTTTATCTCGGCGCCCAGAATATTGAAAATAAGCAGCTCACAGTCTATGTAAGTATCGATACGCACGCACGAAATTAGTTAACAAATAAACTAAGCACTTGTGGTTTTTCGCTGATGTATTCGTTTTTGATTTAAATGTTTTGTCACATTCGATCAGCTTTTTATCACACTCAAATGCCTTCAAAGATTTGTGAAAGTGACAGGCAGTTTGCCGACGGTATGAGTTTTGGTCTCGATAGCATACAAAATAAATCGTCGTTCAAACAGCAAGAAAAACTGAGTAAATAGCCTAGCTTCAAGGACTTTGAAATGCTGTCAACAACGAACGAATTTTAATGTAAGCATGTGTGAGTTATAATAACAAATTGAATGGGTATCACCGTATTTTTTTTTCTATACATCGAACAAACACTTTCCAAACACAAAAATACAACATATCGTTGAGTTGAATGACACGTGACAACATCCTATCGCGAAAAGTAATTAGAAACAGTAAAGCATAAAAGCATTTAATATCAATTATATTTTTAAAAAACGATCAATGTTTGTACAACGGAAATATTCGTTTTAATTTGATGACGCTTAGAAAACAAACTCAATCGAAAGATTAACAAATATTTGCGAATATACTTGTTTCACGAATATGGAAAGTCTTTTTTTTTAAATCGAGTCAAAATTTCGATGAATTTCAAAATAATCAAAAGTAGCAAACGAACAAGTGAAAAGTTTTAATTTGGCACCTTTTCATCACATTGATATTTCATGTTGATTTCGTCGGTTATACAAAATTTCATTTGACACATTCTTCATACTTTCATCATGGTCTCTTCCATTACCGTTTACATCAATGTCATTGTTGGCATTTTGCTTTGACATTTTCGCAGTAATTCCATCGTGTGCGAACTTTTGCTTCAATATGTTAATGTACGGGATGAGAAACCTCCTCTACCTCCCCCCGTCTTATGTGTTTATGTGCTTGTGTATGATCTTCGACAATTTTCCATACGAAGACATTATTATCTGTATTTTAATTCAATGTTGCCGAACATTATTACGTTAGGCGAATCGTTAATAGATAAATGGCATAAAATTATTTCTTAATGGCTTTCCATTTTTGTATGATGAATAACATTTTGTATGTACTTGACAAAAATGTTTTCTTCGATGAAATGTTCGTCTGCGGCATTCTTTTCGGTGGTTGCATACTCTCTTCGGCTTTCAATCCTCTTATCCACAATTTCAACTACTTGACAGACATGCTTTCGCCACTTTTATTCAATCAATCGTCATCGCATCAACAACAGCAGCCCTTTTTCTATAACACCAAACTGGTCATGTGTGCGATGTATGCACAGTGCACACAAACACACACTGTCATGGGATGGTGTTATATCATACAGTTTTTTTTTTCTCTCGTCTGCTTGCGTAAAGTTAAATATTTTTGAACGATGTTATCCGCTTAAAAGCTCATCAATCTTTATTTTCTTTTCGGACGCCTTTTTTTCTATCTTTGTTTGATTTTCATTTCTTCATCTCTCACATCTATCTACACATATCGGGACATTTCCGTCATTTGCAACACACACACACACACAAACATAAACTATACCATAATGTACTGTGCCGTAGCTGGTATATAGTTTCTTTTTACTTTTTGGTTTCTCATACATAAGCAGATATATCTATGTATACATCGCTGAAGTGAACGGAGATTCTATACCACTTCGCTAGCGATTTAATGTTAAGTGCATCAAAATGTAATGTGTGTTGACGAATTGATAATGGACGAACTTATTGCCATTGTTGTGAATTTATTTGGAATAAAATCTCCTTTCGGTTGCGTATACCAGACATTATAATGAGATATTTTCAGCCAGGTGAATCAGCTCAGCCAGATATCGCCAGGAGCTGAAATTTAGTGAAAACAATAGAAGTGATTGTTATGGTTATAATTACACTTACATTGCTACAATCACTATAGCAATCACTTTAATTGTTTTCACTACATTTCAGCTCTTAACGATATCTGGCCGAAAATATCTCATTATAATGTCTGGCGTATACTTCAATCAAATGTTGCTAATACATTCATGTTCAATATCTAAAGATAAACGATATCTATTCGCTGTTTGCTGGTATACTGTTTATTCATAAATTGTTGAAAACAAACTACCATTCTCTGTTACACCTTTTTCTATGAATATCTAACATGCATAATGAAATGCCTTACCATTTCCATACATACGTTTTAAGCAACAGCAAAAAAAAAAGAGTGAACATAAGGTTTACCCTAAAATAGCAGCACTCTTACAATATGCTGCAAATGTGTGTGCGTGACTGTATGCTGATGTGTTCAAAATTGATAGTAAAAAACACGGCTCTTCACTTAAAAATCCTCGATGATTCATCGTCATCACCAGCATCATCATCATGAACCGAATTGACAATGTGGGAGCGACGAAAAAAAAACTTGACTTGACAAACTAACAGAATGGCAAAATGATGCAATTCGCATGTATATGAACTCTTTATTATTATTATTATTATTTTTTTCTTTTTCTTCGTTTGTTTATAAGTAAAACAAGTATACATATACTTGTTTATGTACAGGTTGTGAGAAGCCAGTATTTGTTTCGTAATTTTAGGTCGACTTTATCCACGTTTTTCAATGTAAATATTGAACGTAAAACAAAGATGTGGAGCAACATAACAACCGAGAGATAGAGACTGAGCGTACGAAACAAATTAAAAAAAGGAAACAAACTCACATCACGTAGAAAGTGACCCCATACTGTTCTACCCACTCCCCTTCGCTTTCTCTGGTTGCGTAGAGCCGAAAGAGAGAGACATCTCTTCAATTTTCTAGTGTTCACTGCCGAAAAATCTGTCGTAATGAATAAAGTACACGAATTAGCGCGCGGTGTCACTTGATTTCAATTTCGACGCTAATGTTTTAATGGATTCAGCGTTTGTTAAACAGACTATATAATTGAAATTTATTTGCATGCTCTCTCTCTCTCTCTCTCTCTCGCTCTCTTCCTTTCTGTTTTCCATTTTTTGTCAGACATTCTCATGAAACCCAGTCCGGAATGGTTTCCAGTCACTTATGCTCTTTCGGTTTTCATTGCTTTAGCTCATTTTTAGTACGTAGGTTGCTCCATAATTTTTTTTAAAATGGTACTTATAGTGTTGCCCGATGTAAACCATTGTCATATTCGTAAAGTTTGATGTTTTGGTATGTATTCGTGCCCTGAACCTTTTGTCATACGAACGCTATTTGTATTGTTTACAGTGACTGGTAAACTGCGACTCAACAAAAAAATGAATTTTACACGTGAAGATTTTCGTAAAATGATTTACTACGATTTTCGAAGTAAATTATCTCAACAACAGTGTTTCGATCGACTTCATTTGGCCTTTGGCAATGAAGCACCAACCCTTCAGACAATTTATAACTGGTACCGAGAATTCCGTTGCGGTCGTAGTTCGCTCAAAGACGAGTTTCATACAGGTCGTCCAAAATCGGCTGTTGTGCCACAAAACATCGATGCTGTCAGAAAACTGATTATGGAAGATCGTCATGTGACCTACCGTGAGATTGAGGCATCTTTGGGCATTTCATCCCACAGCATACATACAATTTTGCATGAACATTTAGCCGTAAAAAAGATTTGCTCTCGTTGGATCCCACATAAATTGACCGATGAACAAAAAATGGCTCGTGTGAGTTGGTGTAAAGAAATGCTCAAGAAATTCAATCGTGGTGCTTCAAAAGACGTTAATAAAATCGTCACTGGTGACGAATCGTGGATATATGCCTATGAGCCCGAAACGAAACAGCAGTCGACTGTATGGGTCTTCCAAAATGAAGATAACCCAACGAAAGTTGTTCGAGCAAGAAGCACTTCGAAGCGAATGGTCGCCTGTTTTTTTCGGGAGAAGTGGTCATGTGGCAACCGTTCCACTAGAGGATCGTAAGACCGTCAATTCTGATTGGTATACCACCATTTGTTTGCCCGAAGTGTTTGGTGAAATAAGAAAAAACAACCACCGTCGCAAAATAATTCTTCATCACGATAATGCGAGCTCTCACACATCTTTTCAAACTACTCGATTTTTGACCGGTCAAAACATCGAACTGATGGGTCATCCACCGTACAGTCCTGACCTGGCACCCAATGACTTTTTTTTGTTCCCAAGCGTGAAGAAAAAACTACGTGGTCAACGATTTTCGACACCAGAAGAAGCAGTTGAAGCGTTCAAAACACACGTTTTGGAGATATCAGTTTCGGAGTGGCACGAATGCTATGACAAATGGTTTCATCGAATGCAAAAGTGTATCGATCATCTCGGGGAATATTTTGAAAAACAATAAAACCATTTTCGACAAAAAACAACTGTGTTATATATGTTTTTAAAAAAAATTATGGAGCAACCCTCGTATCGATGCTCTTCATTATTATGGTTGGAATTTTGCATGTTATTTCTTTGCACTCAAGAGTGTGAGTAGGAGAGAAAGTGGTTCTTCCACCTGTATTCACAAACGTATGCATACTAAATTGTGGTTTTGACTCGATTATATCCATATTTTCAATGTTCGATTGTTAATTTTTTTTGAACTATGTTGCTATATTGATCTACTTTAAAATTCGTACTATTTGAATCATTCGAAATTCACTTCACATTAATGAAATGAAAACTCATTTCATGTTGAGCTTTTATTGAAGTTTAGTGATTATTAATTTAAAAAGTTCCGTTTTTTTGACGGCCATTCCATACAGAATTAACATTTACTTCACAAATATAGTCCGTACATTTTACAAGTTAAAACTTTTCCCCGATAATAACGTAATTAAATTTTTTATGAAGAACGAATGTGGCCACTGAATGTTGGTAAAAAAAAATGAGAATCCCATGAATACAATAGACAAAAAATTAGTTCAAGTTGCACGCAATGGAAAAATGTTGAGGCGACTTTTTTCATTTTCCGTGCCATTTTTTTCAAGATTCCAATCAGTAATTGTTAATGCCATTGTATAAAGTTATAT